GTGTCTATGCAGGGTTGCCTGAATTGCTGAAAACCAAGCATGCTAAAAGATTAATCTATGTGGGCAATGGCGAAACAGCTGCAGTTAAAGCAATAGGGACTATTAGGTTATTGTTAAAGGCTGTTTCTATTTGGATTTAGAAGAGACATACATTGTTCCTTCTTCTAGGAGGAATTTAATTTCTGTTTCATTGTTGGACAAGTTCGGTTATTTTTGTTCTTTTGGAAATGACCAGTTTACTCTTCTTCAAAATTCAAATAAAGTTGGTTCCGATTTTTTATTATGTTATGATAACTTATATTTACTTGATATTGTTGCTTCATATAATGAAACCTTGCATGTTGATTCACATCTCTAAGCAAAGAATTGAAAGACTTGTGACAGACGGAATTCTTGATGCTCTTGACTTTTCAGATTCTCAAATCTGTGTTGAGTGTATTAAGGGGAAACAAACAAATGAATGGAGATTAGGTGCCGAAAGATCTAAAGATGTCTTAGAACTTATTCATATAGACATATGTGGGCCATTTCCTATAGCTTCTTAGAATGGTCAAACAAATTTTATTACATGCATAGGTGACTATTCACGTTATGGCTACCTTTTTCTCATTCATGAGAAGTCTCAGGCTCTAGACGTGTTCAAAAGTTTTAAGGCTGAAGTTGAAAATCATCTAGGCGAAAGAATTAAGGTTGTTAGATCTGATCGTGGTGGTGAATACTACGATAGATATGACGGATCAGGTGAACAACGTCCAGGCCCATTTGCCAAATTCCTAGACAAGTGTGGAATCGTCCCACAATACACCATGCCTGGTAGTCCTACTATGAATGGTGTCCTTGAAAGACGAAATAGAACACTTAAGGATATGGTGAGGAGTATGATTAGTCGTACTACTTTGCCAAACTCGCTTTGGGGAGAGGCATTAAAGACTGCAACATACATTCTTAACAGAGTTCCAACTAAAGCAACAGTCAAAACTCCTTATGAATTATGGATTGGCAAAAAGTCCAGTATTAAGCACTTACACATTTGGGGTTGTCCATCTGAGGCAAGGCCTTATAGGCCTAATGAAAAAAAAATTGGACTCAAGAAAAATTAGTTGCTATTTTGTTGGGTACGCTGAAAGGTCTAGGGGATATAAGTTTATAATCCCAAAAGTAAGTCTTTCTTTGAGATAGGAAATGCCCAGTTCTTTGAGGATATTGGGTTTGGAGGGGAAGATAAAGTTAAAGATTTTGTCCTTGAAGAGGAATTAGTTTCTCTTCCTAAAGATGCTATCCCTGAGATTGTTCCTGAAACAACTCAAGAGATGCAAGACAATGATGATTTCCCTCATCAGGGTCAACAGGATATTCCTGAAGATCAAACTCAACAGCCTCAAGAACAAATGCCATTAAGGAGATCTACTAGAGAAAGGAGAAATGCAATTCCAGATGATTATGTTGTCTTCTTCCGTGAACATGATGAAAATAGTTGATTGACTGAAGATGATCCAATCAACTAGTCAAGCCATTAAAAGTACCAATTCTCAAAAAGTGTATTGATGCCATGAATGAGGAAATTAAATCCATGAGGGACAATGATATTTGGGATCTTGTCACATTGCCTAAAGGTGCAAAACTCATTGGTTGCAAATGGATATTTACGAGCAAAAGGGATTCAAAAGGTAATGTGGAAAGATATAAGGCTTGTCTTGTCGCTAAAGGATTTACTCAGAAGAAAGGCATCGATTATACGGAGACTTTCTCTCCGGTATCATCAAAAGACTCTTTTAGGATTTTAATGGCATTAGTGGCACATTTTGACCTTGATCTACATCAGATGGATGTTAAGAAAACGTTTCTTGATGGAGACATTGATGAAATGATTTATATGGTGCAACCTGAAAACTTTGTTTCTAAAGATTCAGAGCATATGGTTTGCAAACTGAAGAAATCCATCTATGGGCTTAAACAAGCTTCCCGTCAATGGTACCGCAAATTCCATCAAGTTATAACCCCTTTTGGTTTTGAGGTAAATTTGGTGGAAGATTGTGTATATCACAAGTTCAGTGGGAGTAAACACATTTTCCTGGTTCTGTATGTCGATGACATACTACTAGCCTACAACGATATAGGCTTATTGCACAAAACCAAGAAATTTCTATCAAAGAATTTTGAGATGAAAGATCTTGGTGACGCTTCTTTTGTGTTAGGTATTTAGATACTCCGGAATCGCTCTCGGGGCATACTTCAGTTATCACAAAAGACCTATATTGAAAAAGTTATTAAGAGATTTGGAATGCAGGATAGTAAATAAGTTTGTCTAAAGGAGACAAATTTTGTCTCGAGCAATGCCCTAAGAATGAATTTGAAAGAAAGGAAATGCAAAAGGTTCCTTATGCTTCGGCCGTAGGGAGTCTTATGTATGCTACGATTTGTACGCGTCCAGATATTGCGTACAACACTGGAGTTTTAGATAGATTTTTAAGCAATCCAGGTTTAGATCATTAGACAGCAGCCAAAAGGGTTATGCGGTATCTTCGAGGAACTAAAGATCATATGCTTATATATAGAAGGTCGGATCAGTTAGAGGTCATTGGGTACTCCGACTCAGATTTTAATGGATGCCCTAACAGTTTCAGATCCACTTCAGGCTATATTTACATGTTAGTCGGAGGAGCTATTTCCTAGAAAAGTGTTAAACAAACACTTATACCTACTTCAACTATGGTAGCTGAATATATAGCTTGTTTAAAGGCATCCAATCATGTAATATGGTTGCGAAACTTTGTCACAGGGCTACGAATTATAGATGGTGTTGATAGACCACTTAAATTATTTTGTGACAATAAAGCAACTGTTGAATTTTCTAACAGCAATAGGAGCTCTACCAAGTCTAAGCATATAGACATTAACTACCTAGTTGTTAGAGAAAGAGTTCAGAATGGTCAGATTTCTATAGAGTACATTGAGACAAATTCCAATATTGCAGATCACTTTACCAAGAGTTTACCACCCAAAGTCTTTCTTGAGCACACTGCTCAAATGGGTGTTCTTTTGTCTTAGGATATATCAGATCAGTGGGAGTTTGTAATTAATGTTTTGTTTACGAATATTTGGTTTTAATGCTGCAATATAAAGCATAAAGTTTAAAGTTCTAAAGTTTTATTTTGGTGTGCTTACATTCTGATTTTATATTTGATCTCATTAAACATTAAGTAGGACCAGTTAGAAATTGGCATGTTACCGATCACATTACATGTAATTTCCATGCTACACATCCACACTTGATCCATGTCATTTAGTTATATTAATGTGCGTGACCACTGATGGGTTTAGTTGTCATTCGTGCAACGACCGCCCCTTTGATCCTATGCTAATATAATTAATGGACGGGTTGTTTAAGTTACTTTATGATAGCAAAATTCTGCGCGATCTTAAGTTTACAGTGTAATATACAATTATAAGGAATATGTTTGGTGTATAGTCCAAGTGAGAGATTGTAAGATTAATTTGGACTTATACACTAAATATATAATTTTTTTTATAGGCTATCATAAAATACAGCCCAATTAAAGTGATCTAAATCATGTTAACAAAAGTTTTTGGCCAATCTTTAATTAAGTTAAAGTTGTGGCCAGCATCGTGTAGAAATCTAAAAGGCCAGGGTTCTTTTCTGTGATGGGTGGAAAAGAAACCTAACTATTATATAATTACCGGTTATGGTCCCTGTGTGAGTTTTTACACCATTAAAAACTGTCTCCCCATTTGTCAGTTAGAGTTTGTATAGTTAAGGAAATCATCTGGAAGATCAAACCAAACTTGAAGAGATTGTTCATCCGCAATGGATTCAGGTACGCTTCCGCATTAGTTTGGTTCTCATTACTTGATCTGAAGTGTTAGGCTAAAGGATTTAATCCAACATCTTTCTCTCAAAGCTTTCTTATTTAATTTGCTGTCTGAATTCCCTTCTTGTTTACCCTGCTTCCTCAAGGTGGATTGCACCTCATGAGCTAGTCGAACCTAGGATAGTTAAATTGTGCTTGTTACAGGTCAAGGTCAACGCAAGCCAGGTGAGTGTTCCCCTCCTCACTTTAAGATTTACTTTCCTGTCTTTTAAAATATTTTATTTTTAAGTTACGTAAATGCATGTGAATATGAATGTGAGTGTGCATGTGTGATTTTGTTGCGACCTGGGTGATTGTGTGCGTGTGATATATGGGACCTTGGTATGAGCTTTGTGATTCTATGTGATATATATAATACATATGGGATTATAGCTTGTTGTGTGGTCTGGCTGAATTCCGGCTTAGTGTTATTTAGACTTTAATCTGCTTAGTGGATTGTCTAAGTCACTACTTAGTGATATTTAGACAATGGCTTGCTGTGTGGTCTGCCAAGTCCGTGCTTAGTGTTTATATGGACTTCAGCTTGCTGTGTGGTCTGGCTAAGTCCATTAGTTGATGATTATAACTTGTTGTGTGGTCTGGCTAAATCCTCGCATAGGGAGACTATAGCTTGCTTACTGGTCTAGCTAAGTCTCGACTTGTTTGGTCTTCGCGAGAAGTCGTACTTGTTGCTTGAAATTATCTGTGCATGCACATGATTTAATTTTCCTGTTGATATCGCCTGCGTGTGTGTGATTCCCGAATGTTGCATGTAAATGTTTTAAAAACTGAGGACCTCACTGGGCTTAGCTCACCCCTTTAGGATAATTTTTACAGGTTTTGCGGGAAAAAAACTACGGTGGAAGTTACACTGATTACTGTGATCATAAATTAGTAATTCCTTTTGTAGTCCTTAGATAACAACAATGTAATATAGATTTCCGTTTAGTTTTTAAATAAAACTTTTGATTTTGCTTTGTATATAATTCAATTATTTTGAAGTGTAGTCTATTTAATTATTTAATAATTATAGTGTGAGGCCCGTCATAAGTTGGGCAGACGTTTCCGAAAGTGATGCGTTTTTGGGGCGTCTCATGAACTCATTTGTATCATAAACGTTTCCATGATTTTCTCTATTTCTGACGGATTATGAATGAAATTATATGCAAATTTTTCTCTATTCCAATTCTCACCCTCTGATCGCCCTTCACTTTCTTTACCCCCAATTGTTAATCTTAATCCTCTATCTCCACAATTCTGAAATCTCTTTCTTTTAATTTAATGTTTTAATCCCTAAAAATATCACCTCCATTACACTCAGCAAACAACAAAAGGTGGCAACGAACCGGCCCTTAGAGAGTGAGACTAGCCCTCCTTCGCTGCCAGCTCGGTTCGTTTGTTGGGCTGATTGGAACTCGCTTTAGGTGGGGTTCTTTCAGCGGCGGCATGATTTGTTTTAGAGATTGTCAAAAAACATTAAAAGGAAAATGAACATATTTGGACGACGGTAATTTATTGGATGGTAAAAAAGAAACCCACAACCTTTATTACTGGCAATTTTCAAATTTTCATACCAACCAAAACAACAAAAGAAATGGGGTGCGCCGGCGACCCGTTCTCCCTCCGACCACCTCTTGCGACTGATCTCGTCTCTTTCGCCACCACCAAAGCAGCAGCCCCATGTTTTACGGCCTTTCGCAGCCGCCCTGAACCACCCAAAAAGTCCTTTTTCCAACCTCTCAATTCCCTCTCTTTTTCCTATCTTAAACCTCTCCAAAACCCCCTCTCTTCCTTCCTCAAATTCTCCTCTTCCTCTGATAACCATGACTACATTGGAGGCGGAAATGGAGCCGGCGGAAATGGAAACGGCAATGGCGGAAATGGAAATGAAGATGATTGGAACGGCTTCTTCAATTTTGACAAGAGCCCACTACTTGTTTCTCTGGTTTATCATAATTTAGCTCAAAAGGACGGCATTTTTACCATCAATGAACAGAATGTTAGGCTATTCTTGTTGGCGTTGATATCTTCCGTTGCTTCGTTTGGTTGGTTGCTATCTTCACCTTCACTAGCTGAAGCTAAAACCGGAACAGACATATCGAATGAGGTCAAAAATGATCATGAAGAGGAGGAAAAGGTCACCGTCTGTGAAATTAGAGGCGGGAAGAGAATCAATTTGGTGCCAGATTTTGAGAGGGATGAATTTATTGTTCCTGAAAATTTTTGGCCCTTTTGGAGGTTTTTTCTGGGGCAGAGTTCAGGCCAAAGTGTGAAGAAGCTTTCGTTGGGGGATTTCTGGGGTCAGTGTAAAGATTTGCTCAAAGATTTGATGCTTCCAGAAGGCTTCCCAGAGAGTGTAACGAGTGATTATTTGGAGTACTCGCTTTGGAGGGGAGTTCAAGGTGTTGCTGCCCAAATAAGTGGTGTTCTGGCTACTCAAGTAAGCTAATGTTTCTTGCATTCATTATATTGTTGAAGCTCTGGCTGAAAATGAGTTTCGCATTGCGTTTTTCTGCTTTAACATCTTCTTAAGTAACTACAATACAGACCTAGGTACCGTTTAGATGAAATCTTATGAAGCTTTGAATCTGATTGATTAAAAAAGTTATCTGCAAGTTAAGTGCTAACTGCAAGGGCAGGATGTGTAGTGAGATCAAAATTTATCGCTTGTTGTAATGTTTCCTTTCCTGTGCAACTCTGACGCTGCAGAACTAAGTTAAACTAATGAAGATTCGAACTAATTGTGGTTTGACTAGTGATGATCCTAGCTCATTTGGTTCTTGATGTAATGGTAGCATTTACTGTATTGAGAATCTGAATGACTTGATTTGAATAATGATGGTCTAGTATGCTTATGTTGTGTTACTAGTCGTATGAAATGTCATTTTTCAAGTAACAGTGATGAGGTAGTGCTTGATGGTTTAATGTGGTACAGTGAAAAGTTTTGCCACTCGGATTGAAATAAGCTCATCTCATCTTTTTTTTTCTTTTTTCTCTCTCTCTCTCTTCTCTTCTCTTCTCTTTCTAATTGTTGGAAAGATTAACCTTTGAGACAGGGTATGCAATATGCAGCAAAATCTCTAGTTTTCAAGTATAGCTCTCTTTAATACATTTCATTTTTATACACTAAATTTTCTATTATTATGTGAGATTGCTGTTGAATGGTCTCAAGTTTGGCATCTTGAATTAGAATCTAGCTATCCACATGTACCATGTTATGTAAATGGTTCTTTCCTTTTTATATGATATGTTAATTTCATCATATGACACGATATTTAGGCCTTGCTTTATGCTGTTGGATTGGGTAAAGGAGCCATTCCAACGGCAGCAGCGGTAAATTGGGTACTGAAGGATGGCATCGGATATCTTAGCAAGATTCTATTTTCAAATTTTGGAAGGCATTTTGATGTTAATCCCAAGGGTTGGAGGTTGTTTGCGGACTTCTTGGAAAATGCAGCTTATGGATTGGAGATTCTGACTCCTGCCTTTCCGCATCTCTTTGTTCCAATTGGTGCTGCTGCTGGAGCAGGTAGATCTACAGCTGCACTTATCCAGGTGATTAAAATTATTCTGAATCTATTTGCATAACCTCGGATGTCACATGGTGCCCCCTTCCAGTTTTATACCTATCTTTTCCTTCTTATGTTTGTGGTAAAAACGCATTCATCAATCCTAGAATCTTTCCAGCTAATGAAATAAAAGCAAAGCATTTCCTTGATTCATCTAATGAAGGGAAAAAAGTGTTTAATTTTCTATGATGTTGCTTTCAGCAGTACTTTTTGTTGTCGTTGTCATTATTGCTTTAATTTATTGTTGCTTCAACTACCATTTCTTGACTTTGTGGAGTTTAATGAAAAAGGTCCGCTCAGGGTATGAAAAATTTTGCATATTTGCAAGGACTGGCCTAAGCGGTTGTTTTGGCAACTTAAACCATGATCTCCATTGACATGACTAGTAGTCCTGCCATTTCACTGAACCTCACGCCTCAAACCCACCCCCCTTCTCCTGTCTGCTGTCACCTATTCAAGATAGAAAATTACCTCTTTATTTTCTATTAAAATGAGTAATAGGTGATGACTCTTTATTTGAGTAAACATGATCATGACTAGATGGTATTGAATCCCCTTGCACATTTATCTTTGATTTAATACAGAAACCTAATTAACACTATGCTAACTGTAAGTTTTATTCCTAATAAGTTTCATTCTAAATTATGAATTCCTCAATTGACAGGCTGCAACGCGAAGCTGTTTCTATGCTGGCTTTGCTGCTCAAAGGAATTTCGCTGAGGTAATATTCTTTAGCCTGCTGGTGGTTTTGTCATATTCCAGTTTAGGAACCTTTCCAATGTCATAATAGATAATATAATATTGAGTTTACCATCAATTCTTTTCACTGTGTGTTTTGATTTATCCTGTAATGAGTATTCTTTTAAAGAATTATATGGTTGCAGGTAATAGCAAAGGGTGAAGCTCAAGGCATGGTGAGCAAATCTATTGGAATTCTTCTTGGCATAGCTTTAGCAAACTGCATACAATCTTCTACCCCTCTAGCTCTTGCCACTTTTGGTGCCGTAACATGGGTCCACATGTTTTGCAATCTGAAATCTTATCAATCCATACAACTGAGGACTTTAAATCCATATCGTGCTGGTACCTTCTCTTACCTCTTTTGAAGCTATTGTCTTTATGTGAATATTGCTTTAGCTAATGCCCTATACTGTTTGATGGTAGGTCTTACCTTGTTTATAGAAACATACTTTTAATTGAAAAGGTTATTATTGAATCTTGATAGGATCATGGAGGTTTAGCCCTATGAATTGAAACATTCATTCATTGGAAGTGTATTGGTATATGTGGCTTGTTACTAAAACATGGCATTGATTGAAAGTGGTTCAACAAGACAAACATTTCAGTTGTTTGTTTAAAAACAAATTCTTACAGGAACATTTATGGTCTAGATAATATGATTCTGAATTACTGTAGAATGTTATCTTACTCAATCAGCAGTACTCATTCATCAGAATTGTGTTTTAGAGTTGGACGAGTTACCACATTCGCATGGCATTAAGTTGAAATTACTTCAGGGTGAGTACATATTGAGATGATTATAATGGAAAAACTAGTCAGTTCTAATGGTCAGAGGAAGTCATTTCTTGCTTACATTTTTGTGCAATTCTTTTTGCTGTTAGTCTCTTTCTTAAAACCTTCAGAGATACTGATTACAAATAGTGGTTCAAATTAATATTTGCTTAACCTTTCATTATTGCAAGTTCCTTGGGATATATTATGTTGTAGAATGGTTAAAGTTGTGGAAAGAGCAGGATTGCCAAATCAGTAAATGGTGTACAATTTCAAAAGTTTTTATTGTATCTTTATATTCTGTTCCCAACACTGGACTAAACTTATGTGATGCTGACTCCAAAACACCTACATTCTGTATATTTGAATTTAGAATGTTCCATTCATGGTTATCATAATGCAATGGCAAAGTGGAAAACTCTCAAGTCACTTGATGCATATCCTCAATGCTTGTCTTTTCCTGTTGTGTGGATATACAAAAGGTGGTACTTAGACATTATGTTAACTCTGCTAAATGTTACCAACGCTGAAGCTTATCATTATGGTTGGGTGCAAGGATCTCAAGCTCCTTTTTTATCCCCCAATTAAATTAACACTTGGTTCTGGTTCTTTTACATGGAATAGAGTCACTACAATTTCTCATCATCATGTCTTCTTTTATTTATTTATTTTTTTTTTGAATTCAATAGGTTTGGTCTTCAGTGAATATCTTCTTAGTGGCCTTGTTCCTTCGGTAAAGGAGGTTAATGATGAAGAACCACTATTTCCCGATTTCCCAGGTCTTAATTTGAAGCCAGATACTGTAAGTTGGTTCGCTGGCTGCATATTATATTTGGTTCTAGACTTGTTACTTTTGTTTACAAAATCAGCTTGCCCTAGGTTATTCAAGACTTCAAGTATTCAGGGTTTGACCGTTGGGCAAATGTATTTCTGAATATCTGTAGCCCTAGTTGAAGCATCTGACATAAGTAAAGGATTGTATAATACTGGACTATACCAGTTGCTTGCAGATTGTGCATGAATGTGCTCTCTTCTTTTCTTATATGGCTTTGTTATTTGCATAATTTAACCACCTGACCCTGCATATTTGTGTTGTGTGGTGAGTAACTTAAAGTTCAACTCAGTGTCTGAGCTTCAGGAGTACTTTATAGCCATACTTTGAAAAACCTCTAGTTTTGGCCCCTTTTATTTTGATTCTTTGATTTAATTATACACCAAAACTGTCGAATAAGTCAAAATTATGCTGCCATACTTCTTTGAAATAACTACTTTTGCCCTTTTCTGTGTTTTGGCTTATTTAATTTAGCCCCATAAGCCATGATTATGCTGGAAGAGTTTCTGAATTTAATTTTTAAAAATTGGTGTCTTCACCAAGTGACCCACATAGTGAGATAAAGGCTTGTTGTTGTTAAGTATCTCCACCGAAATTATTGGCTTTCAACTTTTTCGTTCTCTCTGGCATAGTACAGAGCTTCTCTTTTGGATTACTTTGATGTCTATATAATTTCTGTTTTGAGAATTTGTTACTACGAGCAGAGGGTGAAAGGGGGGTAGAGGGAATACATATTTATAATGCTTGATTCTTATTGGCTAAGGGTACCATTTTCAGGCACGATTAGAAATACTCTCTGTAGAAGCTAAGGATGCAGCTGCAAAGATTGAGCGGCGGTTGCAGCTGGGCTCCAAATTATCAGACATTGTTCAGAATAGAGAGGATGCACATGCCCTGTTTGAGTTGTACAAGGACGAAGGTTATATCTTGGCCGATTATGAAGGAAGATTCTGTGTAAGTGAACTGAGTAGTACTTCCTTTCCACACCCCTCTTCCCCACTCCTCTCTTCTGGTATTCTTCAACGTTCTATTTTTGTATTTCTTTATTTGTTCACTAGTCATTTGTTGGAGACTATTCTGATGGTGGATTTCAGCTTTCACCTTTTATCTGAGATTCTTCTGTCACTTTGGCATCTTTGCAACCTATTCATGTTGTTTTTAGTTTCCAGTGTGTGAAGCATTTCCATCTTTGGCTAGTTGTGCTTATTTTTTTTGAAGAGGGCTAGTTGTGCTTATTGTTTCTGCTAATTACACTTTCTTTTTCGTTTTCCTCTTTATCAAATTTGCTATTGTGATTAGTGTTTCTACTATCTATTAACCCTCTGCATAATGTCCCATTTCGGGCTTTTGAATGGAATGGCTTATATAAAGGCTCTAGGCCAGCTAACAGGCTGTTCTTTGGCTGGAGCGTTTTTTTTAAGCACTTTAAGTTGGCAAGGATGACACCTGTTGGGTCAATGTGAGGATAGGCTAATTGTGGAGCCAGCCCTAAAACCTCCAAATTGGTTTAGCTTTGTGCACTGAACTGCCTCTAGATTTGTTTCCAGGTTAGATTGGGGCAAGAGCATTAAGGTAGATTATTCAAGGGTGTTGGGTTTTGCAAGGATGCAAAGCCTAGAGAATGAATGTAATTTCCCATATTGGCAACCTACAAACAGAATGAGGTACATGCAAAACCTAGGATGAAATGACCAATAGTAAGTAGAAAGTGGCTTATGTTTTCCTGAAAATTCATTTTAGGTAAGGTAAAGGGAGTTTAGTATATTTTACATTTATGTTATAGGTTGTGAAACCTAATATCTGGTCCCTGTATATTTATCTGGCCCGGTTATTGTGTGCTTTTTATTTTGGTTACAGAAATCTTGACACATTTACATGGCTGAATTCTTTGTAATTTTTTAGTCCTGGTTGATAACTTTTTGGTGACTAGTATAATCTGGATTGGACATTCTAAACTAGCACTTACTTCTTTAAGCTCATCTTATGCATTACGAACGGTTATTCTACCTTGACATCCAATTCTTCCTTCATTACACATCCCAGTTGAATAAGCCCAGTTCCTAATGTACATTTTGACATAAGAAGTAGCCGTAAGCTAAAAATTGCTTGATATCATATTCCGTTGGTTTTTCCAGATTTTGCTATTCCTTCTCTTATTTGTCACGAAAACAGAAATCTTTTAAACAAAACATGTGGAATTCAAATGGAGTTGAAATTTTATTGTTTCTTGCCGTTTTTATGCTACAATTGAAATTTTCTAATTGATCAGGTGGCATTAAAAGAGAGTTGTACACCACAAGACATGCTAAGATCATTGTTTCAAGTTAGTTATCTATATTGGTTAGAAAACAATGCTGGGATAAAGTCAAGTAGTGCAGCTGTTGATTGCAAACCAGGGGGTAGGCTACAAATGTCTTTAGAATATACCCGATGGGAGTATGACCATGCTAAAGGTGACAGCGAAGCGGCTGGTTTTGTCACCGATGGTCTGATTGCAAGGCCGCTGCCGTACAGGATATCTCAAGAGATCAGAGGCTGTTGATGGTCCAAAATCAGTTCTTGTTGGATAAAATAGTTTGCTGCAATGAGGAAGGATTTGATTGAAAGGTCAAATCTGCCTGCAATTTTTCAAATGCAGGAGAAATGAAATCTAATCGCAATCATGTGAAGAAGAGGTTTTCTTCCTATCTTTTTGCTATATTTGTTGGCCGATTGCTGTTAGATGACAACATTTTTGATGCAGGGAAGTTTTTAGATGGGGTAAATTACATTCTTGGGTCTCTTTTGATCCAACTAGCCAAAGGAGTCGGATTAGATTATTATGTTAGGTGAATGATGTTTGTCCAAATGTATATTCTCGTTATGGTATTAAATAGAGATTGGATATCTCATTGTATTTGTGCAAATGTATGTTTGTTTATCGAGTTTAGAAAGTAAAATTTCTAGCGGTACCTGCTTCTGGACAGCATTATAGTTCTCCTAATGTTGTCACATAACTGATGAAAATAATTTGAGTCTACATTTATAAAACCTTGAAATGAAGCTATATTTTTGGTTTCCTCAGTTATCACAATGACCTTCATCTCCTTGACTTTCCGTAGTTAGAGAGTAGTCTACAACAGATATGAGACACTGAAACATTGCTGCATTCCGAAGGAAAATTTCCAGGCCTTTTCATGAGCACGTCCTGTTTAGCATCCTTCAGTTACAACTTTTTTTTTTCTTTTCTTTTTTTTTTTCAGTTACAACTTCACGTCTGACAACAATAAGTAATGAATATAGCTGAAAGACTAAACCACAGAAAATGTCTCATAAATTTGGTAAAAAAATTATTTTCGTCTCATACATTTCAAGATGTTCATTTTCGTCCTATTTCATCCAAAAAAAAGTGATTTTTCGGGTATTTTTGTTGTTTCAGCCCGGATTTTTGTTTCTGTTAATTAAGAAATAAAATAATAAGTCATTAATTTTTAAAATTTTATTGCTTTATTCTTTTTGTCTCGCGGGTGGGTGGTTTGACGATTTCTAGATTAATGTAAAACCAAAAAAATGTGTTGAAAAGACAAAAATACCCTTGTATTTGATGGATGGAAAGTTAATTTGAGATGTAAATAGTCGAAAAATCACATTTTTTTGGACAAAATCAGACGAAGATGAGCGTTTTAAAAAGTGTGGGATGAAAATGACTTTGCAATCAAATATATGAGACTTTTTTTTGTGATTTAGTTAACACAAAACTATCTTCGTCAGGAAGAAAATGGAATGCAGTCGAAATCGTGAAACAAAAAAAACAGTTGCAGCAACTGAAAACATATTTCGATATTCGATAAGAGAGTTTAAATGCCCTTCACATGTTCACAGTTCACCAGCGATTCAAATAACGAAACATAATCAACCAGAAAAGTTTATCATTAGAAAATAAAAGAAATTTTGCAACCACTATCGGAGGTGACAAGGAACACGGGCTTTTGTTCTTGTAAACTTCCAAGCTCTTAAGATGACACTTTACACTAAATGAAACGGAAACATTTATAGTTGCATATTTTTTTCTCAGGGATAAACAATACTAGATCTGCATTCAGGCCCTTTCTAAACAGAATGCTTCTCCTCCAGTCCGCGAATCAAGTAGAGATGCATTAAAGGGTCGGTGGTTTTCTCCAACAAATTAAAAAAAAGCCGAAATAAGTAGATACTTCCCTGAAATATACATATAGAAGTCCATCTCATCTTTAGATGTACATCTAACTTTCGAACTGCTTAATGTTGTCTTAGCTCAGTGGCCATCCAAATATCTCGTTCAGGGAAGAAGCAATATATGCCTCCTTAAATTTGAAAAAAAAAAAAACGCACAAAAAATTCTCTTCATATCTTTATCAGGGATAGCTCCTAAATCACCTAGAGGTTCACAGATACTCTTTGAATAAAGGCGCTAATGCTGTAGACAATTCATCAAGTCGTCTTGTACTTCGGCAAAAATGTCTCAGTACAACTCTGCATCCAAAACAGAGGTAATCACATGTGATTCATTAAGCAGGGTACTTAGTAGAGAAATGAGAGAGAGTACAAATTGATGTTTACTTGACTTTTCATGAATATATTTGGCGAAGATCTTCTTCTGTGTTATCAGGAAAGTGTACAAGCACTTGTTTCTTATAAAGCCCTGGTGAAAGTAATACAGTATGTACTAGTATCTGGTAAAAATGAATCCAACTTCCGGTTTCGGCGAGATCAACGTTTATCAAATATCAAGTAATTCATCTTTCAATTAAGTTGTCTAGCTGAGTTCTTAGGACTCAACTTATCCACATTCCCCTTTCAAAGTATCTAGCACAGGGTTTGCAGCTTCTTTTAGAAAATCAGCAAAATCAGACGGATTTTTGCATCTCTTGCCACTCGAATATCCCACTCAGCTACTCAGGATTGGTTCCAACATTATCCTAGGACCATGATATAAGAGGCAATGGAGATTTCGCTGGGCCCACAAAACGCACATCAACTCCGTAATTTGTGTAGACCTGCGTGGAAATTTTCTTATCAAGTCAATCAAGCTCAGAAAACAATTTCTTTGACATTCAAAGGCCTTAAAGCACAAGCCTTTCATGAATTTGCACTTTTAGAATTTCATGAACAAGCCTTTCTTTGACATTCATCATTCGTGGTTTCCCTCACGTTAGCCAGACAGGATATGATCCCTTAATTCTAGTAGCAGCCACTCTTGGAGTTTTATAAACTCCATCCATCCCCCCAAAAAATGTCCAAATTACAAGTTACAATGTGCACTCTCTCTCTCTCTCTCTCTCTCTCTCTCTCTCTCTCTCTCTCTCTCTCTCTCTCTCTATATATATATATATATATATATATATATACTAGTGATGTCTGGTCGCGCAATGCGCGACCCTGGCCCAGTCTATCTGTAGATCTTAGAAATGTTTATATTTGAAAAAAATAAAATTTTGTATTTGGAGCGATATATTTTAGAAATGTTTGAAGGATTTAGAAATATTTTATAAGTGTGATCATAGAAATATTTGTATTTCGCAAAAACTAAATAAATTGTATTTCGCCATGTATGTTTTAGAAATGTTTTATAAGTGTTACTTATTAAATATAAATAGCTTAATCGAATATATGTGTTGAAGTAAATGTTAGATAAAATATAAAAGTATCCTAATAAATTTAAATATTAGTAAGATGATTAATTGATGTTCTCCATTGGTCGTGCCAAATCAATACTTAGTTTTGGAGATTTTTAATAACTTTGTAATAAGCTTCATCCCAAGGATATACGCTTAAAACAAAATTGACACTTTGTAACAAAAAACCTAATTGATCAATTCAATTTAAAAAACCACTCTAGTTGAATGAAACATAAAGAAAAAATTAAAAAAAAAAACGTGTCACGTAAAGTGCAAAGGGAGATTTAGTAATTTAGTTATGGTTAGACAAAAGGGTAATTTAGTATTTTCTACATGCCACGTGGCAATCATATGAGGTGTTTGAAAGGGAGGTTTTTGTTTCTAATATAGTAGGATATATATATATATATATATATATATATATATATATATTGGAAAAAGAAGAAATTTCGATTAAGATTCATATGTAGGATACACTAGGATACAGAGGGTTTTTTTTTCTCTCTCATTAATATTTACATAGGTTCTTTTATCAGGACTGAGAATTAGTGACAAGAAATTTCATATAAGTGCATTCTGTGCACCGGAAAGGGAAGGGATGTATTGAAATCTTATTACGTTTCACATTATTAGGATATTTAGTAAAGTTTTGAATGATAGGGAATCAGATTTCACATGTAATATAATAATGGGATCAAAGTAATTTTTGCATTTAATATTTACTAAGAATATTGTATCACTATTTAGATAAAATAAAAAGATTACTTTGCCAAGCCAAAAATTTCCGGCCCCTATTCTCCCTCCATTTGTGTAAAGTATTATATTGAAATAATCATTCAAATTCAAAATGTGTTTTCTTTCTAAAACATGTATTTTCTTTCTAAAAATATTAATTATTCACGAATGTGAAGATTAGTTAAATGATTTGGACTTTGACATGGTTTTTTTTTTATATAAAAAAAATATGGTTCTAGTTGTATTATGTTTGAGTAATTTAAATATACTAAAATTTTGATGCCACAATATTTTAATTTCGTTTATTGAGTTGATTTTGAGTTTCATTAGTTCAAGGAACCAAAGTTCACGGATACATTATTATAAATTATGATATGTCAAGCTATATTTGTTCTTATAGGGTGATTCATAAAATATATGTTGTCTGTTTTGATTTTTCTTATTAATGTTAGTTCTTTTGAAAATTTTAAATTCATTAGAAAAAATATTTTTTTTTCATTCCCATTATATATTGAGCAAAAAGAACACTGTAATTGAAAAATGATTATGATTCTTTTACATTTCAAAATATTGTAAAGGAATTAGAGATTCTTTTTAATGAGTTGACTTTTCTTGACCAGGAATGATATTCCTATTCCATCATTCCCTTTCCAGTGCAGATATGATAAACACATACAATCATTAAAGGAATCCTCAGTCAATTTTGACATGCTTCGAACATGCATTGGAGTAGTAATTATTTGACGATTATACATTTCTCTTTTCATAGGTATAGGAATGAAACTTTAAGTTTTGAATAAAATAAATTTTGCACAATAATTTTTAATAAAATAAATTTACAGTATTGAAATTTTGTACTGAAATTTTTAATAATTTACAGTACTTAATGAAGATGTATTGAAATTTTTTTCCCCTAATTAATAAATTTTAAGCTTAGAAAGTTATATTAGGGATATAAATAATCTCATTATTAGGTAAAAGTAATCCTTTATGTTTTATTTTTCATGAAAAAACAATAATAGTTGGAAATGGAATCAAATGACTATATATTACCTCCATTCCCTTTATGGTCAAAAGAACACAGTCTTAATATTAAGAAATTTAGAACATAAAACAAGATATAGTAGCACTCCATCATACTTTCTCTCTCTTCCTCGTTCTCTCTCGGCGTTCGTTAGCCCACTGCTAACGTACGCCTGCCATGCCTCGGGGGAGGAAGCCGACGCAGAAAGTGGCCCAAAATGAAGTGAAATCAATGGAAAAAGAAGAGATAATCAACAATCAGCAAGCAAAAGTGCAGGCTACAGGAAAAGAGGGACAATCGGGAGGAAAATTGAAGAAGGAAAAAAAACCCTAGGGAAATTGGAGACAATGCAACGCAGCGAATTGATGAGCAATTGATGGATAAAGAAGCATCAGGAATGCAAACAAAGGATATGGAGAAACAGCAATTGATGAGGGAACAAGTGAAAGAAGGTGAAGGCAAAAGTAATGCTTGGGAAACCTTTGACGTCAATAAGATGAAGAAAGCCGGGGCCAAAATGAATTTGTTCCACCAAAAATTGTTAATGGGGTAGCAGTAGCAAGAATTAAGCCCCAAAAGGTGCAGGATGAAGCAGACTACTGGAAACCATCTATCGTCAGTTTCGTCCTGGGAGCTCACCCACCTTTTCAC